CTTTGCCTCTAAAACATTGCTAATTTAGAGACATAAAGACTTGAATCAAGAAATATAATCTTGTATTGATCTGGATTGTATAAGATTAGATAACTGATTTCATGCCAACTTTTTTACATTGATGGATGAAAATTGGCTCTTAAGATTGGTCTCAAACTCCTCTCAGTTACAAAATCCACCTTGAGTTCTATAGTTTTGAATTTCATGTTGCCACCAAATGATTATTGCACCTCTCAAATAACTAGCTGCATATATAATTCCTTCATTGGTGTTTGCTTCAAATAGTTGAAAATATTGTCGCATGTTAAAGAGCCATTGGCATATATCTTCTTGCCTTGAAGTTCTAAAATATGTATTACACTTACTCAATTTTAACCTAATAGATGTCAATTCCTTTCCCTTAGAGTTTTCTATCTACTCTTACAAAGTAGCTATCTAGTCTAGGATGTATTGTATCTAAGCCTCCATTTGAGATGGTTGTGCCATATCTTCTATGTTGCAATTTCTTTGCAAGACTCTACTACCATAATGCCTTCTCCCTTTCTAGCCGACTTCTTAAACGTAATTCATGGTAGTCTCAAATCAATACCTGATATGATCACAATAACTAAATTTTAATTAAACAATTGCTATCAATACACTATCAAAGAATAGACTAACATTTACTTTGATATCAATGAAATGGGACTAAACTCTCTCTAAGATCTAATATCCTTCCAATCTATAGCAACATAAATTCCATTACAATATAGGATAGAGTAGACTAGAATAAAACTGAATAGAATAAAACAATAAAAGACATAATAAAACAAAGAGAATAGAATAGAATAGAAGAGAAAAAATGCAAATCAATCTTAATTGAGGGAAAGGAATTGAAGTCATACTTGACCAAATACTTCATCTAAATGGCCTTAACGAATACTATTTGTACTTTATCCAATCATCCTAGAACTTTTTAGAATGTTTCTAATAGTGGGCCTTACTAAGATAACCACCCCTTTTAGAAGGTTCTAGAAGTAGGCTCTACCTAAATATCCCTTAAGTCCTTCTGAAATATTCTATGGTAGATTCCATATGGACTATCAATCTAATTCTAATTTTAGAAACTTTCTAAAATAACTCCAACTATCTATCTCTATGTGTAAATAATATAAATGCTCCATTACAACTTATAAGCCTTGATGAGATTCAAATCTTTGATCTCTTAAGCAAGTTATCCTAGATTTAAAATATATTTATTTAATTATTTAATTATTTATAAAAAATTAGATATATTTTAAAAATTATGGTAATAGAAATGATTGTTAAATAAATATATAATTTAAAATATTATTTGAAAAGAAAAGAAAAGAATATATATTCATTATTATACAATAATAATTCTTAAAGTATATATACTTAATATATGGATATTAAATAAAATAAATTATTAGTTTTATATTTTATATTTAAATTATGTGCATATATATATATATATATATATAGCAATTTTTGAAATAAATTATGCACTTAGCTTTAAAAAAAACTCTAAATCTAGTATAACAAATGTTTTTATAAATTCTAATTTTCTATAAATATTCTTCAAACTGTAAAAAAATCTCAATGTCTATAATAAATTTATAGTTCAAATATTTTGAAAAAAATATTGCTGATGTATCAGTTATATTCTTCCATGTTGCAACATAAATTTTTTATATAAGATTAAGATTAAGTCGGCTAATCATCTGATAATAATAAAATAAACATATTATTTTAAACAAAGAATATATTTCAAATCCACAAGAAAAACATTAACACAGGAACAACTTATAGATTCAGCAATTTACCTCATTGCACACGTGAATAATATTCATTTCTCAGCTACATAATCCAATTTTAAAGTCAACCCTAAAGTCTGTAGATGGCTCATTCGAAATGGTGCGTTGATTCTCCTTTATAAGATACGAAACTCTTGAACTCGTCAAAACGTGCTGATTAAAGCAGTAGAGATAAACTGTGGTGACAACTGATTTGATTGCTGTAGGCCGCTACTAGTGACATTTACTTTTCATGGGACCCGGACTAACCTTACCACAAATTTATTTTATTTAAGCAAAACAATGCGAAGCATTTTCATTGTAAGTAAACCTTTTCTTCAGTGACTTTGAACTGTCCAGGTTATTCACTACCACATAAATTAACTGATCAGGTCAATTCACCGTAGAGTCGGCCAGCCATATCACGGTAACGGATGTAGCTGACGCCGTCCAACACAAGCAAATCTCTCAGCAAACAGTTGTTGTAGAAGTACAATATCCCACCGCCAATGAGGCAAAAGACATTTTGTGGCACCTTTTTTTTTTTGGATCAATTCTCTCTTGCCGCTCTGCTTCAGCGGGTAGTGGTCGTAGTGGGATTACGAAAAGGACATTATTATGCACGCAATCGAGAATTTTTGTGAACCCAGAACTATGATTTACAACCTAGGTCGATGCTTAGATGCTCCGTTGAAGTTGCGTAATATTCAGGCGTTCTCTCCTGCAATGAAACTTATCTTCAGATTGCTCATGAATCTACCGAGGTTGATTTTATGCTTGCAAGTCATTTAGGCCGAGCAAGACCCCAATGACCTTAACTGTTATTACACCTCAGTCGAGCGACGAATTGGCGAAAGCTACAGCCCTGCTTTCCTACACTACATCCGTCAAGCTTCGGTTTAATGCAAAAATTCACCTTCAGCGGCAATGTTGATGATATTTCGATGACTCGCTGCACAGTAGCGGATATCTCATTTTCTGTTCATTGTACTACTAGCGAGCAGCTCTGACATGGCTGGATGGATCAAATATTTCTCTCAAGATAAATCGGTACCTACGAAACACATGCTCATAAATTACGTGATCGATACATTAGAGTAATCACATGCATTTACTCAGCGATGTAGCATGAATCTGGGTAGCAATCAGGCCCCATCAGAAACCTCTTCATCCTGCTAGTGGTCGTGTTGGTGTCATGTGCCTTGCCAGGCATGACAGCGCCCAATAAGATGCATAAACATCCATCAAGATGGTGCCCGCAGCTGCATTGGCTGTTACAACGACGCTCACCGAGGATGGTGGTGCATGTTCTGTGCTGGAGACGGAATTCAATGAGCTTCGACAACCTATGGTCCAAAAACTTGCAAGGGTAGGCTTCAAAGCTTGAAATGTGGTATAAAACACTAACAACCGCGAGAATCTAGACAACAAGAAATGCGAATATAGTAACTGAAATGGCTCTAGGATCTAGAAGGTTCATTGCCAGAAGTCTGCTCACACATGTTCGATGAAAGCATCCGATTCTTAGTATATTTTGTGAGAAGCACTGTGCTAGTATTTCAAGTTTAAATTGCCTCTGGAAGTTAACCTACTGTCAGCTAAACTGTGCCCACAAACAAACAAAAGCATAATACAATAGAATCTTTTGCATTGACACTGCATACAAAATATTAGTATGACGAGAGCTCATTTGCGGCGAATATATATTTACAAAATATTAGTATGTACGAATATATAGGTGTTTCACATACATAGGTGTTTCACATTCATTGGCAGTTGGGTGTCGTTGCTTCCAGTAGGATTTTTTTAACTTGTTGGGTTGACTTGGGTAGAAGTGAGGTTTTTGATGCCAAGAGATGCTATTTGGTATTAGGAAGCCATTAGGTAGACACCTCCTTTTTATTACATAGACATTCCACCCGGTCACACCAGCAAAATACCATTGCCACAAGTTTTTCAACAAGCTGGACACTAGTAAGACTGAAAGGTTTAAAAATAATAACAAAAAACAAAAGCAATCGACAACACATGAACATTAGCAAAACAAAAGCTAAACAAAAATAAATAAATAAACACAGATGTCCACGTACTAATTTTGTTAGGTGGACACCTCCCATACGTCTGTTTCATTTGCTTTGATTAGCTTCTGTATCTCTAATGTTCCTATATTGTGGATTGTTATTTATTTTATTTTTTTTGTTGTTTTTTATTTTATTTTATTTATATCTTTCAACTTGAATAGTGTTGAGCTGGTTAAAAAACTTGTAGCAATAGTGTATTATTAGTATGGTATAGAAGAGATGTTCACACAATAAAAGAGAGGTGTCTGCCTAACAGTTCTCTAAGTTTATTATTTATTATATATATATATATATATATATATAAAAGCAACTAATATTAATATGTGTTACATGGAGATTGTAAGCAATAAACGTGTTTCTTTCTTTTCACAACATGTTCATAATTGATTAATTTATATATATATATATATATTTATATATTTATTTATATGTATATATTTAATATGTATATTAATAAAATACAAGGAAAAATATAAGTTAATTAATAATCGAGAACTCATCACAACTTGATGAAATAATATCTGCACTTAAAACTACAAAGAGAAGAAAAAGTAACTTTATAAAGAATACCAAAACAATCTAAAAAATCAACCCTACTAACCAACCAAGGGGATTAACAGTATTAATAACAACAACAACAACAACAAGCAACGTATCCCCGTTGAGCGACCTATATCCGTGAGAAACCGGTCTCCGTGTTGCTCCAACAACTGGGTTTAGGGGTTGCAGCAACACGGAGACCAGTAACTGTTGGAACTTACTATCCATGTCCATCTCTCCGCTGCCATCTCCCTCGCTTTGCCTCATCACTTAGAGCTGGCCCCGCTTTCATTCAAGCCAGTTGCGTTGCTCTCGTGCACAACCGTAGAGCTGAGAAAAATTCGGCTGTAGCAAGTGCGACGCTGGGCAGTGATCAGAAAAGTACCTGACGAAGTTTTTGTCTCTTGTATGCTGTCACTATGGAGGCATCTGCAGCTGTGTTGGTTTCCCTGCAGACTTGTACGCGTCGATGGACTACCAATCTCGGTTTTCGGTGATTTTCCGATATTGGAAGCTAAAATGGCCAAGCCTTTTTGCAGGAAATGATAATGTCCTGAAATACATGAATAAGTGCAAATGGAAGGAACTTGAATTCGTGTTTTATTATGGTGTAAATTCTTGAAAGAACAAGTGCATTGCTGTGCACGAGGTTGCATCACCTCGCTCTATCCTACTTCTCGCAGAAGAGCTCGACTCTAACTCGATGTGGACGGATCGGATGCGATCGCAGTCCAATGGTGAATCTCTCATCCGGAATGAAAATGAGCACCATCGAGAGTGGCGCTAAATAATCTGTCTGCCTGTTGGTTTCCTAATGTACAGTACTCTCTCCAGCTAAATATGGATCGTCGGGGTCAAAATAATTCAAAGAAATGAGTTACGGAAACGGCCTCCGCGGTGCACTTGCGCAGTGTGTAAAACCATACACGCGTTGTGTCGTTGGTAACGGAGTGGTTGCGGGGCGTTGCTCGATAACACTCTTGGAACGAGTGTCGAAGAATTGATTTCTTGTGTCCGATTGTTGTTGATAAACTCCGCATACTCAACAGGTGTATTATCGATTAATAGATTAGTCGGTAGACGAGCTAATGCGTTTTTTTTTTTTTTTTTTTTTTTTTTTTCTGATAAATCTGTGCAGGCAGGACCTCACGTATGATTGATGTCCCTGCATGAGACAGAATATTGTTAGCGACTTGTATCGTGATTCAAAGCCTCTCGACCAAAAATCTTGGACACATCATAAAAACATTACGGCTGGCGAGCTCAGAAGTACCCAATACCTTTGAGCACTGATCTTCATCAAGAAGAAAGGATTGTGTCCATTTCAACGCCGCTCTATGACCTCCTCTGGAGCATTGACTTGAGTGAAGAAAAGTGCATGTGCCATCGCCGTGAGCTTGACAATGCAAGCTTGGCAACTTTCGACTGGCGCGACGGGCTTTTCTTCGATGACTCTGGCGAAGGCGACAACAGTTCTAGGGTGGCCTTGTACGCTGGAGATTTTTGCCCGTCTTCCTTATAACTCGCTTGCGCATGAAAGGAGGGATTCTCAACCCAGAAGCACGGCGTTGTTTTAGATCCTGGCTCACCCTTCGAGAAGAATCTGGGGAAGCAAGCCGGGTGCTCAGAGACCGTTCGAGTTGATGAATGGGGTTCCGACTTAACCACAGGGTCCGGTGTTCGAGGAGAAGGCATCTTGTACGGTAGTCGTGTAGGTGGTTCAAGCTCAATCACATCTTCCTTAGCGGTGCTTGAGAACTCGTCCTCCGGCTTCGAGGGTGGCCTTGAAGGTGAACTTTGAGAACTCCAGAACTCCTCTTCGTGCGATGAGTATTCATTCACATTCACTGTACGCGAAGACGCAGCAGCTGCAGAGTGAGAAGAATGAACAGGAGGCTTCGACATCTTCGACTGCAATATCCTCGGATTCCGATTCGGTACATCGCAGACATTATGTGTTTTAACATTGTCATGGCTTCTAACAGAAGCCGACCGAGAAGAACCTTGAGATTCGAAGTCCTTTGAAGGGTTCCTAGACGTTGAAAGAGGGCTGGCTTGATCCTCGTATGACCAATGCTCGAACAGTTCGACGGAGGTGCCCGACGAAGAATGTGAGCATGGTGCACTCAAAGATGTACGCGTACTTTCTCTGGAGCAAGATGAAGGTGCACTGCCAGGACCGCAGAGCGTGCTTGTGGGAGAACGAGCTGATGCTGCGCAGAGAAACTCCGCGTTTTGACACTGTGGTGATCCGGATTGCGTGATGGGTCCTGATTTAGAGGCTAATGAGCCTTTGCTGGAAGCGCGACTTGGTCTTGCTGTATGGTCCAAAGGACCGGAAAGAAAGTTGGTAGAATGAGTGTGACAATGATTTCCATTCTGCGGCGACAGTTGTAGTGATGAGTATGATTGCGGTGATGGTGCTTCCTCCTGGGATCGATGGGAGTGTTTCCCCACCGACGACTCCCTTGATTGTGGTTCACTTGCATTACGCTTCACGGGCCGAACTTGGTTACCTGATATGATGGACATGCTGCGGCTCCTACTCGATATCGTAGGTTTGCTAAAACTGTTACACTTAACAGCTGCAGAGACGAGTCTTGGCGGCAATTGTAACGTCGGAGCAGGGTCGAGGGCGATCTTCTCCTCGAACTTCGGTTTACCAGGTTCCTCCTCCCACTTAAATGGGACCGAGGAACGAACTGCTTTCTGAGGTGCAGGCTTGGCAGACGGGGTTGATGAGTCTACAATACTCGAGGCTGCAGGGGCAACGTTGGCATTGCGGGATGTATCTAGGTCTTCACTCCGGCGCTCACTCTCAAATTTCCCGGGTCCTTTCCTAATACCACCATGCATCCTATGGCTATTCTCGAAGCTTGACTCATTTGGGGCACTATTATGGGAATCCTTCAGCTTCTCCTCACAAATGTGTGATTGCGTTGAGTTCGAAGACGCGGGAGAGTGCGACTTCCTTAACGCATGTCTTGCCTTCCCAGGGGCATCATCCCATTTGAATGGAATAGCTATTGCAGCCATCTCGCATCTAGGCCTGTTATCTTTATTCAAAGCATTCCATGACATGCGATGCTCGCGGGCATCGACCACTTCAGCGACTCTCAAAAGTTCTCCATTCAGTACCCCTGAGCTGGAGCTGTGTATTCCACCAGCACATGAGCGAAGTGCTTCAAGCTCGCCGCTCTTGAATGCTCTCTCGACACGAGGCCTCTGCTGCGCAACCTCATAACCAACCTCCAACTCATGACTGAAACAAGCACGATTCGGCATGTGCGTCTTCATTCTTGAACTAATTCTGGGTGGCGCGCAGCTTCCGCGTAATCTGTGTGTGGCATTGTCTACAAACTCGGAAACATTATCATCGACGTCCACCGGTGCGAGTTCCTCTTCTACATCCTCTGCCGAGGTGCTTCCGCGACTGGACCCTACTTCAGGTACCTCAGAGAAAGTGGCGTCGCTCAACTGCCGGTCGGTGCTCCTCGCTCTAGGCAGAAATCCGAAGGTGTTAATTGTGCTGGAAGAGAAACCAGTGAGAGGGCCGCTGAAGAAAGATGGCGGAGGAGTGGGGCCAGAGTAACGCATCCTATTACCAGACATATCGACCTCATTGGATAGGACAGGAAGAGGGCCGCTGTAGTACGTGGATCGACCAAGGGCTGGAGGACTTGCTTCACAGAGCTGGTATGTGCTCACTTCGCGACTTGGCAACTGCGAGTCACGGGGGCGCCAGGGAGACTGAGGACGGCTGGTGTCTGAGTCGCTAACATTTGCAGAACAGCTTCGGAGAGAGTAATCACGACGAGAGGGGGAAAGAGGCGGAATTCGCAACACGTTCTCAACGTTTTCAGAGACAGAAGCCATCTTTTAAATATTCTTCGAGACCATCAACAAGAAAAAGACCTCAAATTCAATGTCTTGCGAACCCGATCCTATCGGTGAAAAGTGGTTCCACACGCTACATATAGTGTGAAGAGCTGCGCTGCGCGTCCTCCCCTACTCCAACGAATCAACACCTTCGTTGTACAGTCACAGGAACAGTGTGTGCGCGTAGATTCGAGATTAACAGGTTCGACGGTGGGACAATAACAAGCGTGACACTTTGCCCTTGGCAGTGAAGTATGCAGTCCTGTAACTTCTACAGCCGACGTCCGATTCGCATTGATGCCTTCACGACAAATCTAATGTAACAGAAACTTCGCAATGTCGCCTCCAAGTTCGTCACTGCCGACACCTTGTTCTATCGTGCTGCCAGTTCATTGAGCGCGGAAGCATTGTCAAGTGACAAACATGACAATCAAATTAGGTCTGCAACAGCCGACACATGCCTCCCGGAAGCAGCTCTCTGTCCTAACTGGCGGCTCACTCCGTATCAGTTTCCACCTGATTCACATCTGGAGCATACACCTAGCAAGTGTCGCAATGCCCGAGACGACTCAATGCCTCCAACTCCGCTCCAGACTACCCGATCAAGGAACTTCAGCATCTGTCCGCTGGCATGGGTGGAGGGAACCAAAGAAGTCTTTTCCGTGGACGTCAACCAGCTTATATGGTGTGGGATGGGTAGCCTCCAACTCTTGGCCGGCTCGAAAAGGTCGACCAGAAAATAACTGGGGCAATTAACAACTATAAAATTGAGGCCGACCGTGCTGGTGGAAACGTCGTGGGCTATAGTGCAAACCCGAACCCCATCAGAAAAAGGTCGCACACCAGATCCTACAATTGGTGTGGGGGGACGATTTACGATGAGTGATTTAAAGCGAGTAATATTACCGTGGAACGGGTAGATACCTCCAGTTAGTTGCTGACCCACATTTAACTGCAGGAGTGGTTTTACAAACTTTTCGAGGTTCTCATTGTTTTATAACTATTAACCTCCCCTAACCAAATTACCCAAAAAAAAATTTGGACACAAATAGAGAATTTCTCTATTGCATAAAATTAGAATACCAAATAAACCCAGCCAGGTCCGGCCAGGAGTGTGACCCGTAGACTAAGGGCAAAAGACAAAACTACTGTTTGGACCCACTAATTTCCATTCAGGCTTGTTGTTACTCCATACAGCTCACAACCACTGAGTGCGAAACTGATGTATAGTATCTGCCGTTTTTGAGGGCATACGCTTCATTTCTTCAGGGCATTAAACCATGCATTTCGGCCATAGTCGATGAAGTGGAGCCAGATCTTCTGATATGTTTTTTTTCCTGTGGCCAGAGTATGCCATTAAAGGCTGCGTCGTTCCTCTCAATCCACAGGGTCCAGGTAACTACCCCTCTGAGCAACAACCATAATCGGCTCACTTCACGGAAGCGACGGGGTATGCGGCAGGCGAATATACAGTGTTTCCAGGATGGGTAGAATTGTCTGGGTCTCCCTTCTTGGTCCATATTCGTCCCGCGATAGGGTGGGTGATTTTGTCGACTTGCCCTCCTCCCATTGATCCTTGGGTTGGCGATTGATAGGTGCGATGAACTCGGCCTGGTTGCGCTGGGTGGTAGGAGCAGATGTAAAATATGTAACCCCCCATGGCCAGGCTTTCCTTGCCGAGACACATTCCCAGAACCTATGTAAAACTGTTTCACGCGTCCCAGTTGCGCATACAAGCAACTTTGATCAACTTTTCCGCATACACGTCCTCTCCACGCATTCACCGCCACGGTGCGGTGCCATGCCAGCCATAGCAAGCCGGCCTCCTTTCGAACCCGTTCTCTGTCTCAGACATTTGTCCATTTTAGTTTGAACGTGGGTGGCAACATGCCCCCTCTTGTCTGAGCTGCCCTATTGGGAAGTTCATGGCGTTTTAGCAACAGCTTACGGCCCACCTTGGCTGTGTAGCTCGTGAACAGTATTTGGCCCTCCCACTCGAGGCGACCTGGATCCCAAGTCATTCTGTCTGCTCTGCCGTACCACATGAGAGTGACCTGTCTTCCACCTACACTTGTAGTGGGTACTATTCAAACTCTTTCGGGCGTACAGTGCGTGTTGCTCTGTTTTTCCCATACTCAGGTTTTGATGAGTTCTCCATTCGCTTGACCTTTCGGTTGGGCTACTGGTTCCCGAACTCACCGTGTACACCTTAACTTGATTCGGGATCTAAAATTCGGTTTTCTTTATCTCGGCCTGGAAGGTTGGTGTGGTCTACCATATGACCACTGGTAGGGTCGCCTGTTCATTCATGAACACCCCGGCCCATTCTTCATCCTGTAGCCTCGATCCGGGGCGGTGATTAGAGGATGCCGATGCTGATTTAGGGTGTCAACAAGTCCCTCCCATGAGCCCTACTCCGAAGCTTCAAGGTCGAATTTCTCCTTTGCTACCGAGAACTCCAAGAAGTTCCCAATTATCCATAAATCTTTATAATATTGTAATCCCTATTAGGGAGTTCTGAAGCTCTTCTTCTAGAGAATCCAGGGCCAATTGTGTGGACTTCAAGATAGCTACAATTGGTCCATTCTTCATGACATGTAGGAGGTAGTGTTGTAAGTTCTAGGAGGAGTGTTTTCCAAGCCATTGCAATCTTGTTCCACACAAAGGACCCTTTTTTGCTTTGATGTTTTTAATGGTGAAAAACTCAAGGCTTAGATTCCATCTATCCCTTGTATATGGTTAATATTGGCTAAGAGCATGAAATGCAAGGTGTAGTCACTAGGTTCTAGTGCTTTAATTATCCATTTGAGTAATAGAGTTATGATGGCATCAATTGACTAGGTTCTAGTACTTTAACTATCCATTTGAGTAATAGAGTTATGATGGCATCATTTGGGTTAATGAGACTTATGCCTTCTTTATGTGTAGACTGACAATATTGCTTCCATGCTACTTTGATATGTGCTTGTTGTGTTGATCCTCTAGCAAGGTAGTTACTACGTGAGGCCTTGATTTTTTATATGCCTTTTTTTATTCATCCTAATAATAAAATATAAAAGAACTTTAAAGATAATAGGACATTATTCACAATTATTCTTCAATCAATGGTATCAACTATTGTTAAACTCTAATGTCTTAATTTCTTATTGATTTATTTTTTGAAGGAAAGTATCTATATTTTTTGCAGTCAAAGAAAGGCTAAATAGAGTCCTCAAAAGCTTACTTACTTCTCTCTCTTCTATCTAAGTAATGTCTAATTTATTTGTCCATGTAGGACAAAATAAAGTAGTGATATTTTTCTAATGTCTACTTCATTTAGGCCAATTTATTAATAGGTCTGAATCCAAGAAAATATTTCCAATACTTGGATGGTTTTTTATATATTAGCTTCAATTTTCAATAAAGTCAAAGATATATTGGCTGCATATTGGGCCATAATTTGCTATCTATGACCTATAAGAAGTTAAATTCCTCTAATAAATCTACTATTTATCTCCTTCTTAATTATTATATTAAATACTTCTGTAATAATAAGGAAGATATAAAGAACTAATGAACAATCTTGTCTTCTACTTCTTTCAATTGAAAAAGGTTTGAAGAGTAACCTATTGATCTTTACGTATGCTTTAGTATTAATAAATAATAATTTTATTATATGATTAAATTTTCTAAAAAAACTATTTCATCCAAAGCTTGAAATAAAAAAATTCATTCTACTATATCATATGTTTTTGAAAAGTTTAATTTTAGGAAGACTAATGATTGATTAGATTTTATAACCATGCCATTGTTTTATGCATCAATAATAAATTTTCAAGTATTAATCTTTTAGATAAAAATACCAATTAATCCATATTGATAATATTCATAAATATTAGATGAAGCCAAAATTGAAGCCAAAATTAAAGCATCTTTATATAAGTATTTTGCTTATATTGAAGAGAATAATTTGCCTCTAGATAATTAGATTGCTTCTTGGTCGTCTTTTATATAATAAAATAATCATCGCTTGCATTATACTTAGTAAGACATTCCCTTAATTAATGCTCTCTATTAGCATGTTTAATAATTCATGCCCAATTTAGTTCCAAAAAGATTTATAAAATTCTAAGATTATCCTATTAAGGCCAAGTGATTTTTTAAATATTCTCAAGAACTCATTCATTGTAAGAGGTCTCACAAGTTGCCTTGCTATTTCTCCATCAATCTTGACTTATATGCAATCTATTGCCAACTTATTAGCATTTCTTATGTCCTTTGACAATTATCTTGTCTGATATAGTCTTTGCTAATAACTTTGACAAATGAATTCCATGCTGATTTAACTATGATATTCTTATCTATATACATTAGTTATTTCAATTATACATAGTATCACTAATTATTGCTTATTTGCTAAAAAGAACTTATGGAAGTAGCAATTATTAAATGTGAGCTACTTTAGTTGTCACGGCCATAATCATGTAAGCTAATAATTACATATAGAAATAGGTAGAAGTAAGTAAAAGTAGATAAAAGTAAGTTAATTCTATAATATTTAATATAGAAGCTTCCTAGAAACTTCCTAGACGCTGCTTTGACTTCATAGGTGTCTTTAATTGACTTTTTGGATTAGAAACGTGGTCAACAAGTTGGCCATGTGCCACACATGTTGTTAGCTTGAAGATCAAGCTAACTATGTGGCCCACACGTAGAAAAACTTGCCTTGTAAGTCAAGGCATGTGTCCTACAAAGTCAACACATATTGAAGGTCCTATAGAACGTCGCCACGTAGCCCTTAGTTAGATAGTATATATAGAGACAAGAGTGAAGGCTTCTTCACTCTTGTCAACTCCTTTCTTGCTTCTAGTCCAGGTTCAAGAGTCTTTAGTTTCTTGTCTTGTGGCAATAGCCATTCCAGTTTCCTTTCAATATACCTACTTGTTTATATTTTGACTTATTATATCGAGATAGCCTTTTGGTGTATATTTTCCCTCATCGAGTCTTTGTCCTTGACAGATTGACAAGAGTACACTTACAATATGAGAGCTTTGTTTTTTCTTGAGTAAGAGTGGATTACCCCTTTCTCTTGACAAGACATAAGCGTATTAGAAGTTTACGGATTACCCACTTCTAAACTGATATTGTTCTTAGTATCTTCTTTGTTATCAAGTCTTTCTTTTCTTTTGTCTTGAGCAATATCAAACAAATTTTTCTTCTTAGTGTCATTATGGCAGAGCTTGTTGAAATGAAGAGTGCAATGGCACAAATGCAAGAGCAAATGAGGGAGTTAATGCTTGCGATGCATCAACTCAATTCACCAACACAGGAAAGAACAAGAATAGCAGAAAGTGGAGATATAGAGATGATCGGAGCTGTTTCAACATCTACAACAAATCACGTTCCTTCTCCAATTGTACAACACCCTATAAGCACTAGAGAACTAAGAATTGCCTTACTTGAGAAATTTGATGGTACGAGATCAAAGTTTCGAGGGTTCATCAATCAAGTACAATTGGCAATTGAACTTCAACCGCAAAGCTATCCAACTCCAGGATCACAAGTCAGGTTTATTGGCACTCTACTTTCTGGTTCTGCATTATCGTGGTTTTCGTCTTTTTTTGAACAACGAAATCCAATATTGGACAATTTGGAAGCTTTTTTGGCGGAGTTTCGATCTATGTATGGTGAACACGATGCAACTCGTGTT